GAGTACACAGGCTGGCAAATACTGCAGGCTTTGAAACAACGTTCCTGGGAGTCATGGATATGGACAAAAGAAGGCAGGAGATGCATTTTAAAGCATGTGAAAGCCTAGTGTAGATATAGTCTATACATTCTTTGTTGGGTTAGAAAAAGCATCTGAGCCCTTCTCTAAGGAAATCCTTTGGGGGAAATAAAAAGAGAAAAGAAAGCACCAGGAAAGCAAACTGACCTAGTAAAAGGCAAGTCCTTTCATCAAACCTCCACCCACGCCAGAACAAGCCCCTGTATTACAAATTTTCTGGAAATGAAAACTGGTTTTCACTAAGCCCTGCCCCTACCCTCTTTTTATCACAGTGATTGGGTATCTGATATGCAGAGGCATTTTAGGACACGAAAACTTCTGACAATGGCGGAGTGAAATTAAGTGCCCAGGTCTCAAAGTAAATACAACAAAGACAGAGTCCGTGGTCTAGAGAGATAAAGATGTTAGGAAGGAATATGGACAGAAGCTTCCAGTAACTCCTTGTTAGAAGTATGTGGGTTCTATCACATATACATATGTCACAAGAGAAGGATTTGAGGAAATGCATAATCCATGTGTTGTAGCAGCAAAGGCTGATAAGACTTCCATTAATTTCTGCTGGGTTGTAAGCAAAGGAGGAGAAAGGGGATTTAGATAGCACTGAACTGAACATGCCAGGATTGTTAAATGTGTTTGGACAGGACACACTAGGCAAGAGAGGGAGGAAATCAGAATAATTCCCCAAGATCAGCTCTTAGTGAGTTTTTATGCACAATGAATTCGACATGATATGAACGTGCTGAGAAAGCAAAACAAGCTTGTGTTCCTAAGAAACTGTTGCACATGGAAGCACCAGGAGTTACAGGAATGGGGAAGATTCAAGTGAAGGTGGCTGGATCAAATGAAGGAGGATATATACATATAGAATGTATATATTATTATCATTGACAGAGCAGTGGGGAGGAAGGAGATTTAAACCACCTACACCAAGTTTGTGAGAAAGACTGCTGAAAAGCAGGGAGAAAATCAACAAAACTTCAGAGTTCACATGGCCCCAAGGAGAAGCAAGAACCAGAGCTCTACCCAGGGAAATGAGGGCTTGGTAATTCCTCAGCATCTGGTCCCGGTAAAGCCCCTTGTCTTCATCTTCCAGCAGCTCCCACTCCTTCCGCGTGAAATACACTGCCACGTCCTCAAAGACCTCCCGCAGCTGCAGGCACAAGCGTTACACCATCAGTGTCTCCTGTTCCAGTTCTCACAGCCCTATCTGGAATTACTCTATACTACACTTATTTGCAAGATCAGCTATGACAGGGAGGGGTGCAAAATTCCCCATTATTCAGCTGACATGTGATGTGGACACAGGAATTAATGTACCCGTGTAACCTCAGCTCATCATGTTCTATTTGCTTGGTCCTTTGAGGCAGCCCAGGCAGCACTGTTAGAGGTAGGGGGCCGTGGCTCCATGGACTCTGACCAGGTCTTCCCATTCTAGTACCCTTGGTTCTCTGCACTTGGGAGTGAGCTCCTGATAATGCCAGCAAGAGGCTTGTCACTCTTCAGGTCTCTCTGCTCCCCAAATTCTTTACATAACCCCACTTTGGCTCTGCCCCAGCTGTACTCCCACACCCAATTGGAGCTGGTGCCCTGCTCACCTCCAAGCTCTTCCTCTGCTTTGGAGGCTGCCACTGCCCCTTCTGTAGCTGGCCTGACTCAGGTGGCAGGGAGCCCCTCTCTCCCCATCTCCCTGGTGAAGTCTGCTGCAGTTCCAGGTTTATGGGCCCCTCCTCAGGAGGCTGCTGATCAGTTCTGCTCGGGGTCCCTGCACCTGCAGGGTGGGGAAGAAAAGTTGGCCCTGGTGCTGCTGGCATGGGGAAAGCCCTGCTAGTCTCCTTGACTGGCCTATGGCTAAGGCAGCCAGAGGCATCAGTGTGTGGAAGAGGCGAGAGAAGGAAGATTCAAAATCCCACAGCTCTTGCTAACAGACCTCCACAAGTATGAAGCTGGAGATGAGCCCCAATAAACTTTGTTCCAGTGCAGAGTAGTGATCACAACACAGTGTCAGACCCTGCAGGAATATTGCTCCCTTGGAGAGAAGCTGGAGGGATGTTGGTGCTGTGTCAGCATCCACATTTTAAAGGGAGGGGACAGGGAAATGCATGGTCAGTTTTCTCCAGGGCATGTGAAATGCTTCCAGGGGCACTGGGAGAATAAGAGCTGGCCTGTTGGAGCACTGACCCCATCAAAATGTTCTGGTGGAAGATTCCTCCACTGATGGATGATACTTCCTGCTGCTGGATAGGGGAGAACCCTGGCTCCTCACCCGCTCCTGGGGAAGGGCCTCGTCTGGGGCACCAACCTGAGAAGCTTCTGTCTGCTGACAACTCCCAGGTCTCCTCTGTTCTAGGGGAATCTGCAGCAGGACAGAGGCCTGGATTACCAGCCAGATGTCACTGGGGAATCTCATTTTCTCAACACCTGCACCAGCCCCTCATTGTATCTGGTACATTACCTGACTCCTGGTGGGGAAGGGGCTCATCTTTGGGGACACAACATGGCTTGTTCTGATGTCCTGGCATTTCCCTTTCTCCTTCTTCCTCCAGAGGTCTGTTCACAGGATGGGCCTTTGGCTGCTCCAGCCACGAATCTACAGGTCCCTGCAATGCCCCAGTGGGCTGCATTTCGTCCGAGGACACCTCCTCGACCTTCACATTCACTGTGACCTGGGGACAAAATAAATGTCACAGGGAGCTGGGAACCAGGAGACACGGGGTGAGAGGGAACATCCCCCAGACGATGGACATGGAGATGGCAGCATCCATGATCAGGATGAAATATTCTTACCTGGAGCTTGTTGTCCTCTGCCTGCTCCAGCTGAAACTCTTCAGCACAGGTCTCCGCACCACTTTCCCATTGCAAGCTCTGCATCTCCTGGGGCAGGATGGCCAGGATTTGCTCCAGCACCACCAGGATCTGCTCCTTGCTACGATGCTGTGGCTCAAGGCAGTGCTGGCAGAGCTCCTGCAGGTGGCTGCAAATTTCCTGTGCCCCCTCAGCTTCCTGGTAGTGGAAGCTCCTGAAGCGTTGGCACCAAGTCTCTGGAGTGGGGAAGTCATCCCCTGGGTCCAGCTGTGTGGTCTCTGAAGGCAGCTCAGCCTCAGACGGGGGCTGCATGGCCTGCTTCACCTCCTGTCCCTGGACCTTCTGGCATTGGACCAGCTCCTCCTGCAGCTGCTGCTTTACTGGCTGTAGTGCCAACCGTCTCAGGGAGGCTCCACCAGTCCCAGACTGGACCGTGTGAGGGACCTTTCCTGTTCCCTCAACTCCTGCCTGAAGACTTCCTGGGTCCTGCTCCTGCATCTTCACCTTAGGCCGCATCAGTGCTGGTAAGGGAAGATTTTACCATGAGATGGGGGACCCAGAACTGTGACCCACTGCCCCAGGCCCAAGGTCTGTCTGTCCCGTACACCTACCTACTTTCACTCACTCAGAGCAGCCTCATGGCTGTCATTGCTCCCCCTCCTGCCCTGACACATGGCAGGGCCTGGGCTTGCACCAAAAATCCCAGGTCTCCTGCCTCCTCCCCCAGCCTCGCACCTGCCCCCAGTCCTCCACCAGGTCCTGCAGGTACCTATGTGGTGCTCTGCATGGGTGGCTGTTCACAGTGCTCCTGCATCTCTCAACAGCCCCAGATACAGGTGAAGCCTTCATACCCACACTGCCTCGTGTGCTGCAAGTTCCCTTCCCCTGTGCCCCACCCACAACAGCCAGAGCTCCCTACCCCGGTGCCCCTTCACACAGTGGCCATCTCCAGGGCCCCACAGCCACGTAGATGCACCTCTTCCATCCACCCCCCACCTCACGCCAGCACAGACAGACCCCCTTGCAACGGCCCCAAGCCAGAGCCCTGCCAGGGATGGCACTTGTCGCTAGTCTTGGTCCCCTGGACCCCTCTGCATATTCCTCTGGGAGATCACCTGCAGGAGCTCTGCCAGCACTGCATCAGAGCAAGGAGCAGATCCTGGTGGTGCTGGAGCAGCCTGCCCCGGCCTCTGCCCCACTCGGGTCCGCGGGTCAAGAGAGCAGCCCCCGGCCCTGCCGATGCCCCCCGCGCCCTGCAGGCAGCGCTGCCCCCCGCTGGCTGCCCCACTCACCCCGAGCCCGCAGCTGGCGGCAGGCTGCAGGGGACCAGCCCGGTGCACTCCCCAGCGGGTCCCGTGCTGTTGCTCTATGGCCACGCAGGCGGGAGACGGGCCCGGCTGAGACCCGTCCCTGCTCCGGGGCTGACCGGCCCGGGCTGGAGGAGCTGGGCTCAGGGGTGCCCCACCCCACCAGGCTCCACTTCCCCTCGGCAGAGCAGCAGGGGCGCTTCGAGCCAAGAAGGGGTCCAGAGACGCCAAGACGAGGGGAGAACCTGCCCCTGCTTGCCCCGGGCTCCCTGCCGCAGCTCGGTGCCGGGGGGCCGCAGCTCCGCCCGGCCAGGACTGGGGAGAAAGAGCCGGGAAGGCAGGAACTCACAGATTCACAGATTAAGGGTCGGAAGGGACCTAGTAGATCTTCTAGCCCGACCCCCCGCCAGGGCGGGAGAACAACAATAAAAACCCCAAAAAGAGAAACGGGACTCAAATGAGTCCAGCCAGGTAGGCATCCAGCCTCTTCTTAAAGACCCCCAGGGTAGGGGCCAGCACCACTTCCCTTGGAAGTTGGTTCCAGCTCCTAGCCGCCCTAACTGTGAAGTAGTTTTTGCGGATGTCCAATCTATACCTCCTCTCCATCAACTTGTGCCCATTACTCCTTGTTATGCCAGCGGGCGCTAGGGGAAACAGCGTCTCCCCCAAACCCTTCTGGTCCCCCCTAGTGAGTTTATAGACGGTCACCAGGTCCCCCCTCAGCCTTCTCTTGTGGAGGCTGAATAGGTTCAGGTCCCGCAGTCTCTCACTGTAGGGTCTGCCCTGTTGTCCCCGGATCATGCGGGTGGCCCTCCTCTGGACCCTCTCCATATTGTCCACATCCCTCTTGAAATGGGGCGCACAGAACTGGACACAATACTCCAGCTGTGGCCTGACCAGTGTCGCATAGAGGGGGAGGATCACCTCTTTGGCTCTACTCGAGATGCACCTGTGGATGCACGACAAGGTCCGGTTAGCCCTGCCAACCATGACCTCGCATTGTCGGCCCATGTTCATCTTGGAGTCAATAATGACTCCAAGATCTCTTTCTGCCTCCGTGCTCTCAAGTAGGGAGTTCCCCATTGTGTAAGTGTGCTGCTGGTTCCTACTGCCCAAGTGCAGCACCCTGCACTTGTCCGTATTAAAACGCATCCTGTTCCTGTTAGCCCACCCCTGTAACCTATCCAGATCCCTCTGCAATCTCTCCCTCCCTGCTAGCGTGCTCACCTCCCCCCAAATTTTGGTGTCATCAGCGAATTTAAACAGGTTACTTTCCACCCCATCATCCAGATCGCTGATGAAGAAATTGAACAGCGCAGGCCCCAGGACCGAGCCCTGGGGGACTCCGCTACCCACTCGCATGGGGCTTGGAGATGGCTGGGGCTGGGGTGGGAGGGAGCCCAGGCAGCGCCAGGCACCAGGACGGGGCCGCGCCGCTGATCCCAGCCCTCGCCCTGCAGCGCCCACCCAGCCAGAGCCCGCAGCCTCAGGCCCGCAGGCAGGTCGCCAGGAGTCAGCAGCTGCCTGTAAGCTGGAGGAAAAGCGGGTGCGGGAACCACCCCTGGGACAGTGACAGTCACCCAGGCTCAGCCCCCTGGTGCCAGCCTGTGACTGGGGTAATGGGCGAATCCCCAAGGGGCCCTGCGCAAACTGGCTGTGTCAGTCCTGCAAACATCACCTATCCCAACCCCATTCACGGAGAGGGAAGGAACTGGGGGAGATAAAGACAAAAGGAAATCCTGCAGTCGCCAGTAAATCAGGAAAAAGGAGAGGGATAAAAGGGGCTTTCAGAATTTTTAAAGCAGATGCTGCACTCCCTCCCACAGCTGGGAACAAAGACACTGCAGATACAGAGCAGAGCTCTATACACTGCCCTGACAGAACCCAACAAAAAGAAATGATAACATGATTAAACTATTTAAAAAAAACATATTCTGGATCAGGCCAGAGAGATTTCTGGTCCTACTCTGGGAGTTGACAAAGTGCAAAGGCTTTCAGAGCTGTCACAAGCTACATGAAGGGAAAGGAAGGCCTTACAACCTCCCCCCACCCAAGCAGCAAGTAGAAGATAAAGGTGGGGCTCTCCTTTTAAACCCATCTTCCCACACCAAGAACATCAGTACTTTATCACAGAGAGGCAGTAAGATCTCAAAATACTGAAGAAATGGAGAGAGCTGGGGGTTACACTTTTCATTTTTCTCAAACCAAACATTATCAGTGGCAGCAGCAGTCCCTCAAAGTTGAGGATGATGTCTGTCAGGCTTGATGAGTCCTCAGGTGACAGGAACCTCCACCTCCACTTTTTTGTTTTTGTTCACCTCATCCATGGCCCCACCACGTCCCAGGACCTCCTGGTCAACCTTCTCCTGGCCCTGGCTAAGTGGGCCTTGTACTTCACCAGGAAGGAGACTTTGGCCGGGAAGGTACCCAGAGACTGCAGGGTTGCTTTCCTTTCACTTATCCATGCACATTTCTGGGCAGAGCACCAGTGGGTGGCATCCACCAGCTCCTTGGATGCCTTTGAGGACCAGGGGGTGTGGCCCAGGGGGCTCTGCTCTGTGTCCCCCTCAGGCACACTTATTTTCACCTTTTAACCCTTTGACCCACATATGTCACTCCTGTCCTGTTTTTTGCCTTTGTCGTCCCAAGAATTCTGTAGCATCTTTCACCCATTGGCCCCACACAGTAGGGGCTATTAGTTAGCCAGGTGGGCCTTAGGGCCCACAGTACTCGAATGATACAAATAGACGGGTGACCAAGGAGCCTGATTCTGGATGTACGTGTTCTTTGGCAATGGGGGCATGTTGTTGCACAGGGGAGTGGGATTCGCAGTCCTGGGTTGGTCATCTCCTTCCTCTGCCACCACTGTTCCACCTCAGTATCGAGTTGTCGGGCCTTGAAGTGGCGTGCACCTTGGCAGATCAGGTGGCGCCACGCCAGTCAGCAGCTTGCTCCTCCCAGACATTGGTGTCAATGCCTCTGTGCTTGAGGGTGACACTGAGCACATCTTTATACCGTTTCCTTTGGCCACCCTTTGAGCATTGGCCAATGGAGAGCTGGGAGAAGATAACCTGGCGAGGGAGGCGGTTCTCGGACATCTAGACATAGTGGCCCGTCCATCCGAGTTGATTTCTCAAGAGCAAGGCTTCAATTCTGGTGGATGCAGCTTCATGAAGGATGCTCACGCTGGTCCGGCAGTCCTCCCATTTGATCCCAAACAATGTATAAGCCATTTGTCCTACAAAGGTGTTCTAGTTTCATATTGTTAGGTATTTTGTTTGTGTTTCAGAGTGTGTAGTTAGCTTAAAAATGGTCATGTTTTATTTCTACACCTCCCTGCCTGTCTGCCATCTGACACGTACAGGGAAGGAATCTTGCTTGATCTGCACAACAAAGACCACCTCACTAAGACACTCTCAAGGACCCAGAGGGACACATTTCCAGCTTCAGCTTCCTCTGTGCAAAAATGAAGCTTATTTCCTACACATGGGGACTTTTTACCTTCTTTAACTTTCCTTGAGCCTGACGAAGGGCATGTGTGTAACGGGCAAACTGAGTTATGCTCAGGCTCTTAGTGTAAATTTAGGCCTTCCTGGAACTAAGCAATTAAATTGTACAGAGTGCCTTATAAGCAGGGATCCTGGTTTTCTCCGATTAAAAATTACAAATTCTCTGATTAAAAACCCAATATCCGTGATAAAAATTAAAGCCCCACACCCAGCGCTGCTGGTGCCCTGCACTCCCCCTCCCCTCCCCACAGCCTCAAAAGTCCTCCTGATGCCCCTCACAACAGCCCCCCAGACCCACAGGCACAGACATGCAGACACACAGACACCCACCCCAGCAGGTAAGTGTGTGTGGTGGGGAAAGGGAAGGTGCTGGGGAAGTAGATCAAGAAGGGGGGGGAGCATGCTCCTGTGTCCACTCCCAGGAACAGGGCCAGAGGGCAAGGGCAGGGGTGCCACTCTGAGGGCCACACGCATGCTGGCAAGCCTGACAGGGGGTTTGCACACAGAGGCTGCCACTGCAACTCTGCCACTGCATCCTGCGCTACCATCCCATGGCCACCCGTGCAGCTTTGTGGGCAAGTGGCATGGCACAGCAGTGGCAGTGCGGTGGCAATCACCGTGTGTGGGCCACATACATGCTACCCAGTCGGGGGGGGTGGGAAAAGGGGGCTTGCATGCAGTGGCCACCACTGCACTGCTGCTTATGCCCTGCAGCTGGCTGCATGGGTCTGCGGTGGTGCAGGGTGGTGGCAGCTGCATGCTGGCTGGGGGGCGCTTTGTGGGCAAGCGCTGCCACTGCGGCGCCATGCCTTTCACCCCTGGATCCTAGAGGGAAGTGGGGCTTGGGGGCTGTGGTGCAGGGCTGGGGAAGGTGGCTGGGGGCTGAGGGAGTGGAGACCTCCAATTGTAGTTGGTGTTTTCCTTGTCTTTGTTTTCCGTAATAAATTTGTTCTCTGTGTTTACACTGCTTGCCAGGAGGGGGCATTGTTTATATGGGATACCACAGCCATGAGCGGACGGGGCAGACGACACAAATCATGCATCGTGGAGACCAACTGGCGACTACGGGATGGTGTTTCGAGGCGGGCTTCGGCTTCCTTGATCACGA